GTGGCAGTCTGATAACATCGTGGGAAAAGCATGTTGTCTAATAAAGCATATACATCGCATAGGTGCGAATTAGTACTGCAAGTTGGCTTGATCTCTGATTCATTTTATTTTCACGTGAATCATATGCTAAAGGCTCATAATCATACCACAAGGTGATGACATTATTTTCTTCATGATTAGACTAAAGCTGACAGTCTGTGGGTCATATCATGTCATGTTACACCTTTTGCATTTCTAAAGTCAAGCTAAAACATGTAAAAAAAATTAACCTAAGTTATTGTAACCATAAATATGTCACTACTTGGGTTTCGGTACAAATTATTAAATATGGTGGGATATAATAGACTGCCCATCTCTAGCATTAATCTGAAAGATATTTTAAATTCAAGTAAAGACAATGTGATATGATTAGATCAGTCGATAGAGTATATAAAAAAATATAAATCTGTTTCCACGTAACAGCTAAAATCTCTATGATTTTCATGTTAACGAATTACTTCTTTTTTTTTGGGGTACAAAGCTTGCCAATGTAAACGAATTATTAAACCATTTGCAACGCGTTTTTCCCTTTTAGATGCCTACATGACTGTGATTAGTAAGACCTAGGAATGTGCTACAACACTTTTATGGGATTTTTTTTTTTTTTGAACTGAACTTTTATGGGATTCAATATTTTTTTTACTATGTTTCCGCACAATCACAATAGATTTCTTTGGAAATTTTAATTTTATGATCATTGGTTGCATATATTTAGAATTGGTTCTAGAAACATTGAAACAAACAAACAAAATTCTTTGTGAAACAAAACATTCAAACAAAATATAAGCTTTGACTCTTCAATTTAATCTCATATCCATTTTGAAAATTTAGAGGATCATGAACATTTAAAGATAAATTTGACAAAAACAAAATTTCTATAATTTTATGGGCCAAACAGTTTATATATATATTTAGAATGAATATATTAGGTTTTCTTAAAAATCACCCTCACCGATTTCCAAATTGTTAAAAGCTCCATAAATCCTAGACCTGCCTGTATTTATTTTGATTGAATAACGAAAACAATAGTTAACCGAAAGTTTTATGAGGAATGAAAGGGACGCTGCACAAATTTCACAAATGGGCCAACGATTTCCAGCTTTCAGCCCAATTACTATTCTAATGATCTGACGGCCCATTTATGTCGATCTGGTTCGTGTCTCCCAAGCCTGGACCCTGGGTTTTTGCCCCAATCACGATACCACTCCGTGTAACAACCCCCTCTCTCTTTCTTTCTCCCATGGCGTGGCTCTAACACCATCTTCAAATCCTCTTCAACATTGATCAATGGCGTCTCTTCTCTATTAAACACAGCTTTGTACCTTGGTATTTATTGACACAATATAAAGTATATATAGAACGCAAATTCTTGAACCGGATTTTAAAGAATCTCTCGAGTAGTCTGAACCACTTACCCTTATGTTACACACTTTTCTTCAGGTATCACTGAGAGATCCATACATCATGGACACGCAACCAAAAGCTTTTACATAGACATCCTTGGCCGCTATCCCAGTTCGTAGCATAAGCATGAGAGAGATACCCAAAATGGCTTCTCCTTACTAAGGTCACATAAATGTAAACACATCTTTAAACTCCACTTCATATTATTCCTTTTACGTTGAACTATCTGTTTGACGGAAGTGTTGATTTCTCTGTTTTTCTCTTTCCCATTGATCTTCAGAGAGCACAACCAGTTCTCATCGCAGTAGTTTAAAACTAATTTTAGCCAGACACGTCGCCGGCCACTAATACCGGACAAACTTCTCAAGATGTGCATAATTTTTTTGCCTAGGAGATTATTTTATCTATATGAAAGGTAACATTTAATAATGGTATAAACTATTTCAACAACATTCATCTTTATCGTATAGATTCAGTGAGGGTTGTTTCTTTTATCTTATACACAATTTTATTCATTATTTTCTTATACGGAGGTGAAATTTTTTTTTTAGATGTACATAAGACCATCCGCAATGACGGATCCTTACGAGGAATCATTAGGAAAATATTAATTTTATAATTAATGGGTCCTATGAACGATTAAAGATTTTATCCTAAAAATCCTTATGTAAAGATTGATCCTTACACTATTCATGGGCTCCACTGCCTACGTGGCAGTCCGTGAGTGGTCAATTTTTTTTTTAAAGAAAAAATCTGAAATATCCTTATATAATCTGAAATACCCCTTTTTCTTTTTTTCCTAAGGATTCCTCCTAAGGATCCGCCATTGCGGATGCTCTAAAAGAGTAGAGAGAAACAAGAATTATTAAAATTTTCTACTTCCACTGTTAATACTTTTTTCTTTTGTTGACCAAGAAATTGTGTTATGGGATACCATTTTGAATATATTTAAATATATAGGACTCGACTAGTTTATCAATGGTATAATAAGTCTGGACATGAAACTTGGAATTTGAGATCCATCCATACTAAAAACTGATACTATATACTAAAAAAGTGATTATATATCTGATCTGAGATGGAAAAATAGCCAAATGGATCATACGGACCTAAAAAAAATATGGATCTGAAGTGTTATTAATTGACTTGGAACAAATAAATTGAAAGATTCGAAAAACCAAAATTTTTACGATAATGATCAATGAGTCGTATCATGTGAAATTTGTTCACACTTACGCCTAGGCCTAGGCATATTTTCCGGATCCGAAGATCCGAACCGGTATCGATCCGAAGATCCGAACCGGTATCGATCCGAAAAATCGGGTTTCGGGTCAGATCCGGATATGAAAAAATACCCGATTGGATATGTTTTTATTAATGTTTCGGGTACCGGGTCGGATCGGGTATTACCCGAGATTCGAATAATTATCCGAAACTATCCGACTCTTATCTCATTAAGGCATTAAACATAGATTCACATGGTATTACTCTTGTAAATGTCTGAAGTTCTTGTGATCGTACTTTTTTTTTAAAGTAGGTGAAATGCGTTTAGCAATATACCAAATGTTGTTGATCTTCTTCTTATACATTTTCTTATAGATTTATTTCAAACTTTCAATTATTCTTTAAGTTTCGTAGCTTCTTAAAGTGATGGTTGTTATCTTTGATTGAAATATTAGATTTGTTGTTTGTTTGAAATTTGTTTAAGACTTGTCTATTTGGTTTTAGAATTCTCTCATTTATTTTTTACTCTAAATGATTCGGGTAAATCGGATTAGAAACAAGTATTTTTAGTTATGATCGGGTAAAATTAAGAGAATCCGAACCGGAACCGGATTTTTTTTGGTTACTTCGGATATACCCAAAATTATCCGGATCCGACAAGTACCGAACCGATCCGAAATTTTGAAATACCCGATCGGATCCTATTTTGCCATATCCAAAATATCCGATATCCGAAATATCCGATCCGAACCCGATCCGGTACCCGAATGCCCAGGCCTACTTACGCCAATTGAAAATTGTCCGAGTTTTGGGTAATTTGAGAGAGTAGATTACCCGAAACGTTGGGATCTGTGAAACAAAATGCGTAAGATCACCGGCTTTTAGTGAAAGGAACAAAGTAAACATACAGATACCAAACAATATGCACGTGGGTATGGACCATACTTTCTAAATCCGTATCGAAGTTGCATAGATTCTAGGTTCTTCTGTTGTTATAACGTGTGATCACAATTATTCTATATTCTATATAGAAATCATTTATAGAAAAAAAATGTGTGAAATGGAAGAGGTAAAGTCATTTGTCAATGCAAAGTACATTTCAATTTCATCCAGCTTTCATGGCCCCCCCTTTTCACCAATTGAGATCCAGCAATATAGACCACATGATCTACCGTCTAAATAGAATATGCGCATAGGTATGCATGATTCATTATATACAGTAAACATATATGCATGATATGGCATGTATAAATTTAAAATCATACGTTAAACCCCTTCCGTACAATACGGACATGCAAATTGAATATTTGGTCAGAAAACACTCGACTTAACTTTTGAGTCGTTGAAGTGTTAACTCCAAAATGTACATCATGCAAAATAGAAAAGAAGCAAACCAAACTAAAAAATGAGAAGACAAAAGAAAATTAAAGTTGTAAAAGGTTTAGATGTATATAATGTTTTATTAGAACTCGAACCACAGGTGAAACTTGAAACGGTAGGTAAGAGCATGATTAATGGAAGATTTTTTAGAGTTAGAGTGGGGTTCTTAGCGAAATATAAAAAACTGTTTCTTAACTTTTAACTAAAAACCTAAAAATCGGCTCTTAAACATTTAATAGCCGATTTTTAGTTTTTTTAGTTAAAAGTTAAGAGACGGTTTTTTATATTCCGTTAAAAATTTCATCCTAAGAACTCTCCATTAATCATGTTTAACAGACTAATTTATACTAAGTCATTTTCTCAAAAAAAAATTATAAAAGTTCAGTTTTGTTTTCTTTTCCTGATAATCTCATAAAAGGAAAATTCGAACCAAACCAAAATCCAGATTAAAATATATTCATATCAGACTTAAACCAAATGTGAGAGTAGTCCAATAATCTCTAGTTACTGTTCATATTTCTAACTAGTAATTATCAAGTTATATATATATACATATATATATATATATATATATATATATATATATATATATATAAGTAACTATCGTATTTTATAATTCACAATTTATGGATTTAAGAGTTGTTTATAGATTTCTCCCTCTTAATTGTAATAATATACAACAAAAGATTGCGAAAGCTTAAAAATAGACCAAAACCAATCAGTTTTCAAGTTTCCATATGATTCCATCCTTTTAGGACACACCCATCAACAAATGAAGCTTTTGGTTTAATGTTTAGAAGAAAATATCTTTACTTATGCTAAACGTTTAACACATACATAACATACATGTATGGAGTGTATGTATAGATGTGTGGTTATAAATATCTTAAGAAAAAACAGCAATTCACCACCAATCACTTCATACCTTATAGCAAATCACACTCAATAGTCCCATGGCTACTAAATTCATCATCCTCGCTCAAGTCCACCGTTCCAAAATCTCAATCTCGACCCGAAAACCTCGTAAATGCAACCAAAACAAGCCCCGACCATCCAAATCCATAACCGACAACATGTTCAACAATGATTTCGCTGGCAAAACCCTTACTGAAATCTATCAGGGTGACCTTAAAAAATCAGACCCTCTTAATAATTCACTATTGTTTGTGGAAGATCAGCCAGTTAAAGAAGAGGACACAACGAGTCAAGGAGAACACGGGAAGCTGTCCAACTGCAACCGCAAAGACGGTAAGTCCATAATCGCAACAGAATACGGAGACTTGAGACGTGAAGTTGCTCATTTAAGCTTGTTGTGGTACATGAAATGTTCTATAAGCTATATATTAAGGAAGGCAAGAGCGTTTTACAATGAGTTTTCTTGTGATTCTTGTGTTGGGAGTAGCACTATGGTTGTGGTCGATCCATATTTTTCTGTTCCGGTTTTACCTTACAATAATTAATTAATATCTACAAGTCTACGTGATAGAAAAGTTGTAATTTATTAGTAACTTCGTTGTGTTGTAATGTGTTGAAAGTCTTCATATGTATAATGAAAAACTTCAGTTAATGTAACTAATGTTGTATTTATATTAATTCCGTGTAGTGTTGTGTTTCGACATGCCTACTATTGTAAAAAATATACACTTCAAATATTACAAATATCAAATAAGCTAGCTGCAGCTAATTAACTAGAGTTATATAATTACAATACTTAACTAGATGTATTTATATTACAATACTTAACTAGATGTTATATACGTATACTACAAGAAAACATCGATATACTGAGGGAAATTCCGAGGGAAAATGAGTTCCTCGGAATATTCCGTGGCAATTCTGAGGAAATTCCGAGGAACCAAAAATTTTGGGTTTCCTCGGAATTTCCTCGGACTATTCCGAGGAAATTCCGAGGAACGTCTGCTCCGTCGGAAATTTCCGACGAAATTCCGGAGAACATGTGT